TAGCAGTTTGTTTTGTATTACATTTTTTCAGTTTTTCTATATTTACATTTTACCAGTGTTTCTATATTACCATTTTTTTAAATATTACATTTTTCGATATTTTTCCCCATTACATTTCATTAGATTTTTTCTATATTACATTTTTCTAGTCTTACATTCAAGAAAAAAATCAAATATAATTGTCAGTCAATTTCAATATATTAATTATAATAATTATAAATATGGAATTAATTATATCTATTAATATGGAATTAATTTATTAATATACAATTAATATTAATATGGAATTAATTATATTTATTATTAATTATTATTTAATTTAATTTATTAATATGGAATTAATAATATTTATTAATTATATACATGAAATTAATGGATTTCTTATCCAACATTATTTCCTACAACTCCAAAGATTATTTTGTGGATACCCATTTTTGAGTGCATTCTAGAGATTAATAAAGTATGTTGGTCTCCACTAGGTTTGAACTGGCATCCACTTCTTTAGGAGAATATATATAAAAGAAAATTATATATATATATATATATATATATATATATATATATATATATATATATATATATATATATAGTAAGAAGGCTTAAACACTAATATTCCATGGTCATAATTTATTCCATTGGAATCGTAAATACGATCCAATCATAATTTATTCCATTGGAATCGAAATACGTATTTTTATATATTTTGCATATGTATGTATATTTTCCACTAATATTATCTATATATATATATATATATATATATATATATATATATATATATCCATATATATCTAATTCTCTTTATATATATATATATAGCTCCATATATATCCAATTCTCTTTATATATATATGAATATATATATAATATATACAGTGTAACCCGGATATAAGAGAGTTGTCGGGACCGAAGAAGAAGTCTCTTATATCCGGGTTTGGTCTATTTTGTTTACATTAACACAGGCTCTAATTTGGAACCAGAGAAAATCTCTCTTATATCCGGGTTTCTCTTATATCCGGGTTACACTGTATATACATTTTTATATATATATAAATATAAAAGTGGCCATTGAAGTCAACACTCAGAGATGACAGGCTGTTTCATGCTAGACGCAATCATCAGGCGGCCTGACAATTGCGTCTAGTATGAAACAACCTGTTGACATCAATGTTCACTTTTATATTTATATTTACACACACTCTATCTCTGATATTGAGCACTTTATCCCATAAATATAGCACACCTTAAAACTATATTTCTTCATATATATATATATATATATTTAGTTTATGAAAAACTAGGTAATCCATATGGGTAAACCTAAGGAGGATAAAATCCAGAGAGCTCAATGTAAATCCAGAGCAAATAATTTAAATAAAAACAGACCACTTTAAGGTTCCATGTAATAAATTATTTCACCACAGCCCTTTTAAAGGTCTGGATCATCAGACTTTACTTCCAAACAAAATGAAAAAAAAATTTACACATTTTTGACGGGCCGTATTAAACATATGTAAATTAACGAAGTCAGGGGGGAGAGAGAAGACATGAGCGTGTTAGCAGATATTGACTCATTTAAACGGTTAACTTAACAGAAGTTATATATTGATATTGAAGGGTAGAGAAAAAAAAAATATATATATATTTTTAATATAGAAAAATAAAAAATAATTTTAATATAATATAGAAAATATAATTTTAATATAATATAGAAAAAAGGGGAAAATATAACATATAAAAAATGTATATATATATATATATATATAAATATATATGTATAAAGAGAATATAGGATATATATATATATATATATATTCCTAAAGAATTAATGAATTTATTTTAATCTGACATATTTATTACTTTGAAATTTATTGAGGTGAATCCTCTGTACTTGAAATAATAAATGCTCAACTTTTATTTTAAACAGTGAGTATTACGTTTATTGTCCTGTACATTTGAGTAAAGAAAAATGTGTTTTCTAACAGAGATTAAACCTGTATCCTCCTTTGCAGGCGGAATCATCAGAGACCAATGCATTAAGCAAGGTTACATTTTCTCCTTTTTTTAAAGAAACACATCCTCAATCATTCTTTCAAAAGCTTCATATTGGCACAGTCTTGTACTGTTTAGCTGAGTGGTAAAAACATTCACTTTCTAATGTGTCGAGCAAATTTTTTTTTCTTCCACCGTATGAATCTGAATCCCCTTGCCAAATTTGTTATGGCAGGTGAAATTTTTTTTTTTTTTTTTTTCCTCCGTATGAGTTCGAATCCTCTTCGCCAAGTTTGTTATAGTGGGTGAATTTTTTTTTCTCTTCCACCGTATGAATCCGAATACCTCGTCGCCAAGTTTGTTACGGAGTGATTTCACAGTGGAGGCTTATATTTGTACTAAGTCGCTCCTAAAACAGGTTCGACGTACAAAACGTTAGGAACTTCATATAATAGGTATGACACAGTAATCTAGTTGTGGTCGCTGATACTTTTAGCATCCAACTAACGATCGTCCGACATCGACTGACTGACCAACTCACTGAGCGACTCCTACTACTCCTACTTATTATAGGTAGGAGAGTCTATTAACTATAGAATACGTGTGTTCCACTATAACACTTTCTGACCATGAGACCTGAGTTCAAACCTCCCCATGGTCGAATTGTCAGGAATTTGGGTAGCAGGAACCCTTGGGAGCCATCAGTGATTGTGCTAGCACAATGTCACAAGTCATTGTGACTGAGCCTGAGAGCTTGAATGTGCTGGCTTTGTTAACACTGTTGATCACATTAGATAGCGCACTCTCTCCCAGAAACTGTAATTAAGGTTCACTCAACATAGCTGCAGTATAAACCACAGGTGGGCTCTGTGGGTGTTTAACAAACACAAATGTGCCTGAGCAGGCGTCTGCAATGGGGATTAGCTGCCATTCTAGTAGACCGGCAAATTTATCTGCTTAATCATTATTTTAAATAATACAAATTAATTAGAAATATGTTGATTTAATCCACCCTTCCCCCACCAAATATATATATATATATATATATATATATATATATATATATATATATGTGTGAAAAGTGTATATAAATATGAATAAATATATATATGTATAATTATTTATATATTATATCTGTACTTATTAGAAAGCGCTCAATATCAGAGATAGAGCTAACATATTTGGTTGGATAGATGTGAGTTTGTGACCCTGGGTTTCACGCTTGATGATACGCTAAAGCGTGAAACCCAGGTCACAAACTCACATCTATCCAACCAAATATATATATATATATAAAACTCTTCCACTTTTGTCATTCATTTTCCCCACTAGTGTTCTTGATATATATATATATATATATATATATATATATATATATATATATATCGTTATCTCATATATATATATATGAGATAACAATATATATATATATACTAAGTAGCAGAGCCGGCGTTGCCGGGGATGTAACAGTAAGAGATAGATCAAGTATCGACCATCATAAAGACTGAAAAATAAAATTGACAAAGATTATTGTTTAAGGTTGACAGACATGCATGTCTTAATTAGTTTTTTTTGTTTTTTTTACAAATTGGTCAAACCCAAACTCAAACAAAAACATTGTTTTCAATCGTTATGAGTCTACCGATTGAATAGAATTTTATTATAAACAATTGTCTTGTAAATGGAATTTTTAAAGCATTCTGAATGTAAAAATAAAGAAAAAAGTGTACAAGACTAACACTACCTGCCAAAAAAAAAGTGAAGTTTTGTTGAAATCGGCTGAAAAATGTAGGAAATCTGATCCCATATATAAATGAACACACACACACACACACACACAACCTGGGTTTTATAATAAGTATAACTCGATATGAGTTGTCCCCCTTTCATTAATGCCTCTTAATCGTGTTTTCAAATTGATTTTGTGCAAAAACAATTGTGTTTTTCCAATTTTGGGCGCTGTCAGAACCACCGCAAGGTAATTTTAATTAGTCCTTTGAAGTTTTGTTGAAATCGGTTGAAAAATGTAGGAAAACCGATCCAATATATAAACGTACAGACACACACACACAACCTGGTTTTTATAATAAGTATGATTTATATATCAAGAACACTAGTCTCATATACATATATATATATATATATATATGAGATAACGATATATATATATATATATATATATATATCAAAAACACTAGTGGGGAAAATGAATGACAAAGTGGAAGAGGTTTTCGTGTGACACGACTACGCATGCTCACGAATGAGGGATGCTGGGAATTATAAATTAATTTAATTTTTTTTTTTTTTTTTTTAGACAATTTGATTTAGATTGATTTTCTTTTGTGTTTCCATCACTTTTCTTAACAGATATCCCGCACTGCGATAATAGAAGGTCTGCTAGGAATGGCGAAATGTTGTAAGAGCCATGGCGCAAATTTCCGTTCAAGGCAATCCCTAGAGATTTTTATTGTAGTGAATTGTATTTGTTTTCTTTGATCAAAATAGCATTAAAAAAAAAAAAAAAAAATCCCAGCATTCCTCGTTTACAAATGTTGGAAATGGGTTCCTCACACCAAAACAAGGACAAAGATCTATATAAACATATGTCTGCAAATCCTTCTTTTTTGAGTTATTAAGTTTAAAGAAAGTTTGCGGTAGGTAGTGCTGTATAGACTAGGGTACATTTGTTATTCATGTACATTTTTTGGCGAGTCTGTCTTCAACATTAACGTGTGTAGTAGTGAGTTAAATCTTATAACCCCTGAAGGTTATAAGATTCTAAACTGTCTTTCACACCCAGTAATATAATTTTTCTTTTATCCCTAATGATGCAACTCTTGTCTGATACAAGGTTTATCCTTACTCATGCAAAATCTTTTAGCCCTGAAGGTCTCACCTGTTTTTTACACTCAGTGATATAATCTGTTTTTATCCCTACTGATCAAACTCTTATCAGATGTAACTTTTATCCCTCCTAACGCAAAATTTTTTGCCTCTCATTATCTAACATGTCTTTTACACCCTGTGATACAATCTGTCTTTTGTCCCTACCAATGCACATCTTGTCCGATGCAAATTTTACTCCTACTGATGCAAAATCTTTTACCCCTGGAGGTCTAAACTGTCTTTTACACCCAGTAATATAACCAATATTTTACCTTCTGCAGATACAATCTATCTTTTACACCTGCTGATCTAAGCTGTTTTTTACCACCTGTGGTATAATTTGTCTTTTATCTCTGCTGATATAACACATATTTTACCCCAACTAGTCTAACCTGTCTTTTAGTTCCTGCGATATAACCAGTCTTTTACCTCTGCTGAGTCAACCCATCTGTTACAGCTGCTGATTTTACCAGACTTTTATCCCGTGTGATAATGTCTTTCATTTACTTAATTTATATTGTTCGAACTGTTCTCCTCATCTTTATTGTCATATTCATGACATTTCGGCTGTTGTATGCTCTGGCTTTCTTCAGGGGATTGAAATTTTGAACTGAACACTTTTATTCCATCCACTGGGGTAGATTGTTCTAGTTCCACATGCCATGTCTCTTCCAGATGTCTCATTTATCTCCCTTTAACTCAAATCACATAGAAATTAATACAATATGGAAACGAGTTATAAGGAGTGTTAGAGAAAAGCAATAATAGCAAAAATAATTGCAATATGAGCTCTGGTAAAAAATGATTACTGAGGCATTAAGTTTATAAGTTCCAAAAATACATACACTGATGTCCTTAAGGACACATGGCCCAATAGATAAACGTGTTGGTTGGATCCTGTGAGTTGTGAGTTCAATCCCTGGCTATAGCAGTGGTGAACAAAAACTTGTAGAGTTGAGCTAAAGAACAACTGAGACATTTTGAAATTTCGATCGCCTGAAGAAGGCCAGATTTATAACAGCCGCAACATTGTGAACATGACAATAAAGATGAGGACAGCAGTCTGAATAATGCACGTAATTACAATACCTCATCTCAGAAATATCGACCGAAAATGTCTTTTACCTCTGCTAATGCAACCCATCTTTTACCCATGCTGGTCTAACTGGTCTTTTAGCGTGGGTAAGCAGTAACCAGTCTTTTACCTCTGCTGATGTCATGCATCTTTTACCCCTGCTGTCTAACCACCTTTTTTACCCATGGTGTTTTGTCTTTTAACTCTCACTGATATAACCCATTTTTTTGTCCCACTAAAGAAATGGATTCCTGCCTTTCCCAAGAGTATTAGTGTGAAAATGAACACAGAAGACAAGGCCTAAATTTGGACTCTGCAGGGCAATTCCATTTTCCTCACCAATATGCACATCCTTAACTCATTTAAAAATTCTCCAACCATTTTTTTCTTTCTTATTTTTGTCTTTTGGTCTAGCTATTTATTTCAGTCTCTTCATTCTCTCTCTCTCTCTCTCTCTCTCTCTATCTATCTATCTATCTATCTATCTATCTATCTATCTCAGTCTGTTCAATATCTATCTATCTATCTATCTATCTATCTATCTATCTATCTATCTATCTGTCTGTTCATTATCTAGCTATCTATCTATTTTGGCCTGTTCATTAGCTATCTATCTATTTCGGTTTATTCATTATCTATCTGTCTATTCTCATCTAAAGTCTCTTCCTATGTATTTTTCTTACTCATTATTTTCTTTAATTATCTATCTATCTATCTGTTTATTTAAGAGAAAAGGAAAATATATATTCCTCTTTCATACAATTAATTTATATTGGTTTGTTTGTCTATCTATCTATTTAACAGAAAATGAAAATATATATTCCTCTTTCATACAATTAATTTATATTGGTTTGTTTGTCTATCTATCTATCTATCTATGTATCTATCTATTTATCTATCTATCTCAGTATTTTCTTATTAATCTGTCGGTCTGTCTCAGTTTGTTAACATCCATCTCAGTATTTTCTTATCTACCTATTTATTTTACTCTGTTCATTATCTATCTCAGTATATTAGTATCTATCTCATTCTCTTTATATCTGGGTATTTTCTTCTTTCTTTCTTTCTTTCTTGGCCTGATTCTATCTATCTTTTTCGGCCAGTTTCTATCTATCTGTCACAGTCTTTATTAGCCTGTTTCTATCTATCTATCTATCTATCTATCTATCTATCTATCTATCTATCTATCTATCTATCTATCTCAGTCTTTTCATATCTATATCTTTATTAGCCTGTTTCTATCTCTATATCTTAATTTGTTCATATCTTTCTCTATATATCTTGTAATGTTTCTGTCTATCTGAGTCTGTTCATTATCTGTCTATCTATCTCAGTCTGTTCGTATTTCTATTTATCAATCTCACTATCTATGTATGTATCTATCTTTCTCAGTCTATGTATGTATGTGTCTATGTTCGTAATTCATTTCTCATCATTGCTTCTTTCCTTATTTGTTCCTCTGCACCACCCATTCTTCGACCTCCCAACTCTTTCCTAACCGTCCCCACCTTTTTCTCGTCTTTCCTCCTCCTCCTTATTTTTTCATTTACTTTCTACCTCTCGATTCGCTTGCTTATTTCCCCCCTTCTTCCCCAGTCTAAACTTCACACCCCTCTCTATTTGCTCCCGCCTCCCTCTCCCCCTCTTGCTACTACTTTACTTTGTATAATACCCAACGACTTCTTCCCGTTTCTCTTTGTCTCTCACCTTTTCTCTTTTCCTTCTTCTTCATCATGTCAGTTGCTGTAGGTTGGTGGCTGACATGCCCATCAGGAAACCGAAAACATTTCGCTGGGCATCGCAAATAATAGTAGTTGCACTCTTTGTTGTAACCACGTAAATCAGGGACATGCCCTTGTCTAAATAAATAATTTACCCACCCACAAAAAGCTCACCCGTTGTTCAGATGTTAAAAAAATAACTTAAAATTCCTAATTGATACTCAGGCGGAAAATCGTGCACTTTAATTAAAAAAACTAAAGCCAAAGTTTAAATGTTTAAAATAAATCTAAATATTAATTAATTTATAAGTTTTTATTTAACCGTTTATTTAGCGACAGATAAACTAATAAATAAAATTATAAATAATCATATAATTTATTATTATAATTAATAAATAAAATAAAATTTATAATATATAAAAGAAAATTTTAAAAAATAACCTTTTTTTTTTTAACCCTCATCCACTGTCGATGTCCATTCCATTTTCTTAGAAAATCGAAACACGCATGCGCGGACAGCAACAATATGGCGGATAATTAACTAACAAAACAAAACTAATACATTTTTTTTTTATTACTTTACCTGCATTTTAGAATACGAGATTTTCAATAAAATTATACGCTTGCCCAGTTACATAAAAGAAGAAATTAGACTATGTATATTTCTATAATTTTAATTCAAAGTTGGTTATATAAATAAATGAGGTATATATGTGCTGGCAAACGGAATTTAGTTAAGAAAAAATAAAGAAATAACAGCACAGATTAACAATAGAAAGTAACTGCAATGTAATACTACTAAACTAATAATAATGATTATGTGTACTGACTGATACAATGTATATGTGAAACATACTTTAGTTAATTGCGTTTTTAAGCTGCACAACCAGCCAATATAAACAAAATAGGAATTATGGAAAAACAATTTATGATCATCAAAAGCCTGGATGCTCACTCAAAGGTTCAAGTGTTAACTGAAAATTATATAATATGAAAAGATTAAATACAAGACTAAATTTATTCTCTTGGTCTATGATAATGGTATTTAGCTGAACTGTATCACTTGACGGGAAAATAATTTCTGCTATTAATTTTTAGAATAAACCAAAATTCTTCCTTTTTTCTGTTTTTTGTTTTGTTTTTGTGGGGTTTTTTAATTAGCTTCTAATTTGCCGAAAAACGTCTATAGGTCTATTGAACAGGATTAAAGGTTGTTTTTTTTTTTTTTTTTTTCTACTGTTTAATTCTGGGTTTCCGGTTCCTTCTAAAGTCTTATTCTCTTTCACGCCTAGTAACCCCTTGCATCTTAGTGGCATTATCGCCTTGCTTGGGGTGAAATGATTAAAACAAAAAGAAATCCAGAAAATTAAGTATAAGTGAAAAGCAAATAAATAAGAATTATGTATTTAACATTTTTTAAAAATGTTCAAAACTTAACCCTTAGGAGACGACAGGGCCAATATATCGGCCAAAAAAGTCGAATGACGAAGAAATGAATGGGCCGATCCCTTTAGACAGATAATAAAAGCCCCAAGATTAGCTGACTGGTCTTCGTACCAGCCAATCAGATTGCTTCTCGCATATCTTGCACATCTGGGCCATTCAATGGCGTTTTCTATGATAGTTTGTTGTATTCTCTGATTTTTACATCAATGTTTTGTGTTTCAAGTGAGACCACGTGAAAAGAGCTCCGTCTTGACACTGGAACTTCAAATGGGGCTGTGTCCCCAAAGAGTTAACATTTGATATACACCCACCAACTGCCCTTTGTTATGGTGCCTGGTTTATACTTTCTTCATAAAAGAATTGAATAGATTCAAAGTCAAGATGCTTGTTTAAAAATTCAAGAGTTGATTTGATGATATGTAGTATGCATGGTCGTCCCATCATCAGCTAGGATGGGCACACATAGGGTAAAGCCATATAACACTGTAGATATATAAACATCCACCAAAGAGGGGCAAAAGGGAGAGAATCTCCCATGTTCTAGCAAGGTGGTGTAGAATCTACATTTGGAGAAAAACCCTAAAGTCACACACCCACTAACTGACAATAACTGACAAAGTTCGGATTTTTTTTTTTTTAATCATTTCACCCCATGCATGGCAATAAACCCACTAAGCAAAAAGAAGTTACTGAACATGAAACAATATGAGAAAAAGAGAAACATTATTAAAGAGTGGGAACAACAAAAGAAAATTTGGTTTGGTTTGTTTTACGGCATATTAACCCATTGGGATATTTAATGCTGAAATAAAAGAAGGGGAATCCAGAAGACAGTAGATAACAATTGACATTGCAGTTACATTTTTCAAGATCAAAGTTAGCTGCAAAACCAGAAGCCAGATGAGAGTGCCACAGGCGAGAGAAGAAACTGTTAACATAGAACTTTCAGTTACATCTAACTATTTCAACTATAAAATGATGAGATCTTGTTGCTAATTTAGTCTTTTTTTATGTACTGTGTCATCTCGGGACGTAGATGATTATGGCTCTCCACAATTTCCTGTCCTTTATAGCCCTTAATAAATTTTGTCTTTCTGCTATTTCTCCTCTACCCTGTTCGCTGAAGCCCACTAAGCATGCTATGCAATGTTTCCCTCTTGCTTTTATTCTGTCCTGTGAGTATTAGATTTTCCAAGCCCTCTTTCCTCATTATGTGCCCTAGAAATTTCAACTGTCTCTTTCTGATGTTAAGTATGTTTCCTTTTTGCTTCCATTTTTTCTAAAACTTCATTGTTGCTCACATGTTCGGTCCATAGTATCCTCAGCATCCTTCAGTAGAACGACATTTCTGTTGATTCAAGTCTCTTCTTCATCTTTGAGGCGATTGTCCAGCACTCACTGCCATACAGGAGGGCAGATATAACAGTTTAGTACTCATTTCTTTGTTTCTAGCGAAGTTTTTTTTCTATTACTTAGTCCTCTGCTCAAGCAATCTAGTACAGCACTTATCTTCATAAGGTCGAGGTACCATAGAACAAAATTCATCAGAATAATTACCATGAAAGTATTTATAGAAAAAGCACAGTGAAGCTACATTATGGCAGTGGGAAAGTGATTGAAGTCAAGATGCCAAGATATGAAGAATCTTTAAATATATCTACCAGACTAGATGTAGCAGTAATATTTGAAGTATGTTTGAATGGTAGACTTATAAATGTGTAAGACAAATTCGAAAAAGAAAAATTTTCTAGCACGACACAGAGAACCAACTTTGCTAGCAGCAGACCTAGCAATTGATTCACTTGTAACGATGGTTTCTGCACCTTACAGCACAAGCTGTGATGACATCCAAGGTTTGCTGTATGCGTATATACACCTATGTTCACATTTTTGTCTCATTGGCCATAATGACAATCGTTTTTCAGGATACTGATTGGGAAGCAGCGATCAATACGATTTCTCACTTAATCAATGTCTTACTTCGGCTTTGAGAAGGTGAACTCCTGCTATCTTACTAATTTCCGGCCCTGGAAAAGGTGTGGAACCGCGCAGGGATTCCACCTACTTTTATGTGCGCGCGCGTATTGCACCCTTTCCTTTCACGTTCGGCTAGATATAGTAGTAAACAGCCATCTGCTGCCGACGTGAGGAAGCTGCTGGCTGCTGCTGATTCCAGCTAAAACAGAATTTGAAGTTTTCCCGCGCATTCTCTGACGTCACTGACGTACGGTGTTTTTCAAATCAGTCGCTGCCTGGTCTCTGAGCAAAAAGGTCGACTCATTTATTTCGCGCCCCTTACCCATACGCGGGCCGAATTATCTTAACTACAAAAACTTCCTAGTAAACTCCTTGGTTCATCATGCCAAATCTCTTCATGTGGTTACAACTTTCTGTGAACAACTTGTTTGAACCTTTCTCCGTTTTCTACCAGAGAACGTTGAGTTTACGACACCTCGCCATCACACTTTTACAATGACTAATTCCTCGTCCTGACGCGAACAACTTGTTCGAACTTTCCTCCGTTCATTACCAGGGAACGTAGAGTTTTTCGACACGGACGATTGATAAACTTCACATACACCTTTGGAACTCTAACCTTACGAACCAGTTTAAAAAATAAAAATAAAAAATAACATTACACCCACATGACAAAAATCCCGCAGTCAGTATTTTCCTTGTTTGTGTAGGCATGTACCTTTTGCATAAGAAGACTCTGTTCCAGAATTTTCCTTCTGAGGGAACCTTTTCCCGCCTTAGCCATTTTGATTTTCGTTTTGGCGCGGAACATTAACATTCTTTTACTGACTACTTGTCACTACCTTATACAACTTGCCTACTTGCTAAGATCTGGCTTTACTTTTCTGATAGTCTCCACTGTTTGAGACAAAATACCTTTTATTAAATAAAGTTTTATATTTGTTTTCCACCAGATTCGTTTTCATCGTTTCTCCTGGCTATCTATTTTTACCTTTTTTATGCATGTGTTGAATGACCCTTTTTCCTCACTAAGGAGACTGTAATAATTCTACAGTTAAAAGATCACGCATTTATTATTTTTACTTTGCTAGTGAATTCGGTAGTCGTGAGTAGTGTGTGGCACAAGGCCACCTTTTCGTAGGCCAGCACTGCATGCTACCGGGTGAATGTAAGAGTACCTTTGTGGAACCGCGGTTCCACAGGGGTACACTTACATTCACTGCCTAACCGTTTCAGTGACTGCTGACTCACTCACTGCTGGTCACTTTGTAGAGGACCGAGTGGGTTTGAGTGTTGTTGAATTAGGAACACGTGCTGTTTATTCTTGCTAGAAGGTCCCACTACAAGAACATGGCGGACTCAAGTTGAGTCCAACCGAAGATGCAACAAGCAACAAAAGTAATCAGCAGGGTACAACTGGAAGTCCCAGAACCTATAAAAACGCTGACAGAAACCTTATTCGGTCTCTTTTTCAACTTCCTTTTCAGTGGTCTCTACCTTCAAGCATAGCTTGAAGTGCTATTCACAACTTTTTCTGCAGAAGACATGTATCCCTGTCCTGACAGACTGATGCCATATTTCTCATCTCTTGTGGGAACTAGTCTA